TCGCTCTCTCTGAATGAATAAATAAATCTTTAAAAAATAATAATAGTTAAGTCCATCCAGTGAATTTTTGAATTAGAAACTACTTTTTCACTCCTGAATTTCAATAACTTTGGTTTACCTGTGTTGCTATCTCTCTGAGAATACCTGTTTCTAAGCTGTGAATTTCATTTGTCAAGATCGTAGTTTATTTATGTCTTTGAGAATAGTTATATTACCACTTTAAAATCCTTGTTGGTTAGTTCCAAACTTTGTCTCCTCTCAGCAGAAGATCTGAAATATTTCCATAGTCTAGAGAATGGAATTCCATTTTCTTGGTTCATCACACAGCAGGATACTATGAATTATATCTTAAATATTATAAATATTAAGTTGTGAAGATTCTATTTTCCATTATACTCATCAGTAGTACTGAGTCCATTTTAGCAAATAATTTTCAAGCCTTGGACTAAACTAAAATCTATTTCTCATATAGAAGCTCCAACCTCAGGTCAGATCTCTGTCTATAGTTGACTTGCTTTGAGCAAGATAACTACCTTAGCAACACGATCACAATTTTCTTATGCTAAGGGTACATTTGTCTGATCTTAGACCTATTCAACATCAGTTTCTGGAATCCCTTCCCTTTAAATATCCAATGCAATACCCCATCTTCTATTGTTATTTATTTTTATTTTTTTAGAGACCAATCATCCCATTTGCTGGTACATTTTTGGTTTAATTGTTAATAACATTCCTTTTTGGTCTCAAAAGTACCCTATTGAAGATGAAAAATTTATGTTCACCCTATTTATTCCTGACTGTAAAAGAAGGGAGAAGACCTATATTTCAGGGTTTGGAGAAAAGTGATGAAGAAAAATGGTATTCTCAGTACCATAGAGTACAAGCTTGTCTCCTTATGGCTCTTTACCCATTGGCAACAACGTTCCTTCCCTATTCCTGCCTCATTTTTTTAAATTTTTTTGTATTATTTTATTTATTTATGATAGGCACACAGTGAGAGAGAGAGCGAGGCAGAGACACAGGCAGAAGGAGAAGCAGGCTCCATGCACCGGGAGCCCGACGTGGGATTCGATCCCGGGTCTCCAGGATCGGGCCCTGGGCCAAAGGCAGGCGCTAAACTGCTGCGCCACCCAAGGATCCCTATTCCTGCCTCATTTTGAAAGAGTGCTCAAAGCCACTAGCAAATAAGATACAAATATGTACTTTTTTAACCTTTTATTATTTTCTGACAAAAAAAAATCTGCTTATGGTAAAAAAAAGTGAGAACATAGATAAAAATACTTTTTACATCATTCATAATTCACATTCTATACTGATCTAGAATCTTCAAAAGGCAATGTCATGAGAAAAATACATGGAGAAATCATTCTAGATTTTGAAAGGTTCACAAAAACACAAAAATCATATGGGATGTGTAACTACCAGAGCATAGATGGGAAAAAGAAAACTAATATCTAGAAAGACTTTTGGAGGACCTTTTTGGTAACTTGAATGTCATCTGATAGCTAGTAGGAAATTATTGTTAGTTTTCTTAGGTGTGATGATAGAATTGTAATCATATAAGGAACTACTTATATATTTTTTAAATATTTTTGTTTATTTGAGAGAGAGAGAGAGTAGGGAGAGGGGCAGAGGGAGAGAGAGAATCTCCAGCAGATTCTGTGCTGAGCATGGAGTCCGCCATGGGCCTTGATCTTGAGACCTGAGATCATGAGCTGAGTCGAAATCAAGAATCAGATGCTTAACTGACTGAGCCACCCAGGCACCCCTAGAAATGACTTGTATTCTTTATACATGTATGCTAAAAAAAATTAGGAGTGATGTGCCATGTAGTCTGTAATTGCCATTCAGATGGTTCAACAGAAAAGAGTTTGTGTGTGTGTGTGTGTGTGTGTGTGTGTGTGTGTTCACACAGGCAAAGAAATAAAGCAAATATAGCAAAATGCTATCTAGTGAGGAATCTGCTTGAGATTTATAGCAATGTTCATTAAAGTATTCATTTAAACTTTCATATTTGACAATTTTCAAAATAAAGAGCTAAGAACAAGTCCACTTGAGTGGGAGCCAACACTTATATTTATATCCATCGCAAATATATGTTTTCAGTAAAATTGGTAAAAATGTATATGTAATTTTGAAATCTCTTTATACACATGTTTATAGCTCTACATCACATTTTATTTTCAAATAAAAAAATCTTTTTAGACAGAGTTGGGGTAGGCAAAGGAAGAGGAAGAAAGAGAATCTTAAGCAGGTTCCACACTTAGCATGGACCGTGACTCAGGGCTTGATCTCAGGGCTCTGAGATCACAACCTGAGCCAAAATCAAAAGTAGGACACCTAATTGACTGAGCCACCCAGGTGCCCATCAAATAAAATATTTCTTTCAAATAAATTTGAGAAACCTATACCAAAAAAGAAGTACATATAAATCTTTCCTAGTTCTCTTCATCAAACACAATTATTCAAACATTAACGTGTTAGCCAAGGTAGCTAGTTACTGTAAGAACCCAAGAATCGTAATTGGTGATTTTAATAAAATCATGATTCTCACTGTCCTCAGTTTGGTGTGGGTCATGTGGCCCTCATCCTCTAGGCAGTGGCTCAGGGAACCACACATGCATTGTATAACTTTTTAATATGCATGTTTTTTGTTTCCAGCCATATTGTCAGAAAAAATGAGCAGGACCCAAGTGGACCTTATATGGACAGGCCTGGAAGTGGCCTTGGCCACTTCTGTCCTTAGTCCATGGTCAGAGTGCAGACATGTGGCTCTAACTTAAATATAAGGCTGGGAAGAGTAATCTTCCTCTGCATCCGGAAAAAAAAAAAAAAGCAATGGTGAACATAGAGCCAAACTGCATAATTAATAACCGATAAAACAATAGTTTTTATATTTTGCACAGCATAAATTTCTCTTCCTTTGAATATCAAACCACTGATGGGGTTGAATTATCATACTCATTTCATGAGACAGTGTCCTCATTAATTTGGCCATAAATTCCTTTCATGTATGTATGTTTTTGTTTCATTTTTTTCCTGATGCCCCAATCCCATTTCCTTCTTCCCAATAGGATCAATATAATGCATTGACTATGTTTCCTTAAATTGATATGTGTTTTTACAAAAGAAATGACATTGTTTGGTTTACATATATTTTAATTCACATATTTATGTAAATGTATTATTATCTCATTATTTTTCTTTTGTACACCCACTGCTATGGTTTTGAGGTATATACATATTCCTATGTGTACTTTTAGTTCATTCTTCTAATTGCTGCATGGTACTCCACAGTGAAGATCCATTACAATGCATCTAATCCATTTTTTGGTGATGGACAACCAGATTGTTACCAAATGCCTGCCACTCTAAATATCACTACATTTTAAAGATTTTTATTGTGTTTATTTATTTGAGAGAGAGATCACAAAAGCACGGTAAGAGGAGAAGCAGTCTCCCCATTGAGCAGGGAGCCCAATGTGGTGTTTGATCCGGGGGTTCGGGGATCATGACCTGAGCCAAAGGTAGACATAATTGACTGAACCACCCAGACACCTGGAGAAGATATATATATTTTTAAAGATTTTATTTATTTATTCATGAGAGACAGAGAGAGGCAGAGACACAGGCAGAGGGAGGAGCAGGCTTCATGCAGGGAGCCCGATGCGGGACTCAATCCCAGGAGCCCGGGATCCTGCCCTGAGCCAAAGGCAGACGCCCAACCGCTGAGCCACCCAGGAGTCCCTGGAGAAGATATTTTTAGAAAGGAAGGAGGAGACAAGTGGGGAGTCTACTTCTCTGGCTCCCTCTCCATCTCCCTGTGCCTCTGCTTGCTCTTTCACTCTTCTCTCTCAAATAGATAAAATAAAATAAAATAAAAATACCTTCTCCTTTTCTGTTTCTTTTTTAAAGATTTATTTATTTATTTATTTATTTATTTATTTATTTATTTATTTATTCATGATAGACATAGAGAGAGGGAGAGGCAGAGACATAGGCAGAGGGAGAAGCAGGGAGCCCGACGTGGGACTCGATTCCGGGACTCCAGGATCGCGCCCTGGGCCAAAGGCAGGCACCAAACCGCTGAGCCACCCAGGGATCCTCTCCTTTTCTGTTTCTTTATGCTCATCTTGCCTAATCCTTTCCTCTGAGAACTTACTGTAACCTCTCTGAGCTGTGGCTTCCTTCTATCTTATTTCAGGGAAACGTTGTTCAAGGCCTATAAAGCCAAATTTAGCAGAGAAGGACTCTAATGCAACCCATCAGCAACTTTCATGTATTGTTCCTTGGATGTTCCTTTCATAGAGTTTATCTATGACCTGCATGGCCTCAGAGCCTCAAGTACAGATTTAGATCTTGTCTTAGTCAGCTCAGGCTACCACAATAATACACCAGCTGGCTTAAAGGCAGCTGTCTTCTTAGTATAGCCTCACATGGCAGAAAGATAAGGAGAGCAATCTCTTTACTTTGGTGCCTCTTCTTATAAGAACATTAACACCATCCTAAGGACCCCATTCTCATGACCTCATATAAACCTAATTACCTCCCTCAAAGTCCATCTCCAAATACCATTTCACTGGGTATTAGAGAGTCAATATAGGAATTGGAGGGAGGGGAAAGGACACAACTTGGTCCATAGCAGCCCCCTCATGTTCTAGACACTGCATAGACTCTACTGAGTTACATGCATGCATTAGTACAAGGGACATTTGTGATGTGATAAAATTTCCAGTATTGCAACCTGTCTTGGGCAGCTTCAGTTGGTCTCAAAGATCGGGTAACAGACTGGGGAAGAAGCTTTGTTATACTCAGCATCTGTTCACTAACAGAAAGGTTGCTTCTGGGACGATCTCCTGTTGACTACTTGTTGATTCTTTGAAGTTTCAAGGGCAAAGTTTCACTTATTAAAACATGCCCTAAATTTCAATGTGTGCCTTCTTTTAGTAATTTTTGTATCGGATTGCTATTCCCACATCTAACGTGTTCCCATTCCTCAGGTTGGGGAGGAGGTTAATTCTCAGGTGGAGTTACCTCCAGCTGGCCATTGCTGACACCTGCGCAGCCTTTGCTCCCACCTTCGTCATTTACTGTGTGCTCCGCATCTTGGCTGGATGTTCTACCATGTCCATCATGACAAATACTACTATGTTGTGTAAGTAAACACTTTGGATCTTTGGCATTTTCCAAGCCATGACTTTGACATTCCAACTTTGGAGTCAAGATCCTGTTTGTGTTTTCTTTCAGTTGTAGAATGGACAGAACCCCGACTGCAAGCCATGGCAATAGCAGTGGCTATCTGTGCCGCTTGTGTGGGACAGATGACCCTGGGAGGACTGGCTTTTGCCATTCGAGACTGGCACACCCTTCAGCTAGTGGTTTCTGTACCATTATTTGTCTTTTTTCTTTTCTCAAGGTATAATCTTTCTTTTTTCCTTTGTCTTAGACGATCCTGGGATCCAAGATACATGGAATCAGGTTCTTAGAATTCTGTTTGGTTCTTAGGTAACACTTGAGCACATGTTCTCCTAATAAGTGTCCTATGTACAATTCAAGAAGCTGAACAGGTAGGGTTGCCAGATAATATCAAGGACACTCAGTTAGATTTGATTTTCAGGTCAATAACAAACTTTTTGGTATAATGTTGCAATTATTTCATGGAGTATAGCTATACTAAAAATTATTCATAGTTTATGTGAAATTTCTATTTATCTGAGAGTTCTGTATTTTTATTTGCTAGCCTGATAAAACACAGGATGTCTCATTCAGGTGAAATTTCAAATAAACTGTAAATATTTTTCAGTGTAAGTAGGCCCAAAACATTGCACGGGACATAGTTTCACTCAAGAATTACTCATATTCACTGTTTATCTAAATCCATATTTAACTAGGCACACTATCTTTATTTGCCAAACCTGGCAATAGTCCCCTGAATAAGAGTCAAGGGACAATATGACTCCTGCTCTATATTGCCAGTCGTGAAAATGTGCTGCATAGAGAGGTCATCCTCCCAGTTTTCTAGTGGTACAAGAGAGCATAAATTTATATTTTCTGGTATAACAAAACAAGAGGTAGGTATTAGAGGGGAGGAGAGAGGCATTTCAGGACAAAGAGCATGGGCATGTGAAAGACTTGGCTGCACCTCTGTCTTCTTTGATCAGGTGGCTGACAGAGTCTGCTCGGTGGCTGATTATCACCAACAAACCTGAGGAGGGCTTAAGGGTACTTAGAAAAGCTGCACACAGGAATGGAAGGAAGAATGCTGGAGAAGCCCTCACCATGGAGGTAAGCAGGAAAAGGAGCTGGTTATGGGATGTAGGGAACACGTGACATGACATAAGCACTCATTGGTATCAATAAGGTGAATAAAGGGTGGGATGGAGGTCTGGCTACAGATCTTCTTACCTCATTGTCTTGGTTCTCAATGGCTGTCCACATTGTCTGGGTTAGTATAAAGAGAGAATACCCTGTTACTGGGAACCGAACACAGATAATTTTACTCAACAGGATCAGATAGCTCGTCAGATAGCTGACGATTGTAGAGATTGTATATTTGTTAGAGAAAGTAACAAAAGTGAATCCATTTCTCTCCATTAATATTCTTTTTTAAAAAAATAAGAAAGACTTTATTATTTTATTTATTTTTTTTATTCCATTAATATTCTGATGGCCTTTTTCCAGGACAGTAAGACCAGTAGAAGGGAGGTTTAGTGACAACACAGAATAGAGCATGTTAACTTGGGCGTACACTCTTTCATTAATGGTATTTACTGAGTGCTCCCCGGGGCGGGCCACTACAGTTCCTTACAGGAAATATGGCATTGGCCACAACAATACACGTCTTTGCTTTGTGGAGTTTACATTCTACTTATTACAAGTTCCAAAAGTGTGACTGAGTGGAAATGCCTCAGAGATGTCTTTTTTTCCCCTACCCTGGGTCTGGAAGGCAGATATTGCTGTGAATCATTAAGTAAACCATATATCATGTCATGAACATATAAATTATTTTTTTTATTTTTATTTATGATAGGCACACAGTGAGAGAGAGAGGCAGAGACACAGGCAGAGGGAGAAGCAGGCTCCATGCACCGGGAGCCCGATGTGGGATTCGATCCCGGGTCTCCAGGATCGCGCCCTGGGCCAAAGGCAGGCGCCAAACCGCTGCGCCACCCAGGGATCCCTAAATTATTTATTAAAAAATTATAACATTCCAGTCATGGTGCTTGATCCTGAATAGTAGTATAGGTCAGATGTGTTTCAAGAAACTTTAGTATTAATAAGAGAAAAATCAAGATGTCTTAAAGTTAATACATATTATGAAATCTATTGTCTTAAATTTTTAACTGTACAGTACAGTATCATTAAGTACAGTGATCTGTAAATCTTCCTTGACTAAAACTCTGTACTCCTTGAACAGCAATCTCTCAAATCCTTTGTCCCTATTCCTTGGTAATCACCTTTCTATTTATTGTTTTATTATTTTAATATTTTATATACTTCATATAAGTGGAATTGTGCAGTATTTTGTCCAGTGATTGCCTTATTTCATTTAACAAAATGTCCCTGAGATTCATCTGTTGTAGCACATAGCAGGATTTCCTCTGTTTATGGATAATATTCTGTTGTATGTATATGCCACATTTCTCTACCCATTCATCCACTGATGGACATTTAGTTTGTTTTCATTGGTTTGGCTATGGTGATTAGTATTGCAGGGAACATGTATATGCAAATATCTTAAGATCCTGTTTATGATTCTTTGGGGTATATAACCAGAAACGGTACTGCCAGATTGTGTGGTATTTATATTGTTAGCTTTTCTGTTTGGAATGATAGGCGGATGGAAAGAATTCTAAAAGAGGGAAAATCATCTACCCTTATTTAATTGGAAAAGGAGAAGATTAGGATCTAGACGGTCAAAGAGGAATAATAAAATATTTCTGGAACATGTTCAATGGCACATCTGAAGGATTTTTCTTAAAACAACTTTGTGCAGGTGATGAATCACTAAATTCTACCACTGAAACTAATAATAAATATATGTTAACTAATCTGAACTTAAATAAAATCTAAAAAAATCCAACTTCATTGATGTATGATTGACATACAAGAGCTGTGCAGATTTAATGTATACAAGTTGATGAATCTGATATAACCAAACAGCATCACAACCCATGCAATAAACATATCCATCACCTCCTAAAGCTTTCTCCTGCCCTTTTTATTCATTATTTTTGTGGTAAAACTTAATATAAGACCTACTAATAGCAAATTTTCAATATATAGTGTAGTATTTGTACACTGTAAGATCAGTTTTCAGTTCATTCTTTTACATGTAAATATCTAGTTTTCCACAACACTATTTTATTGAAGACACTAGCCTGTCCCCACTGTGAATTTCTGGCACAGTGTCCAAGATCAAGTGACCACATATGCTGAGTTTATTGCTGTTTTGCTTCATTGGGATACATGTCTGGTTTTATACCTGTACATCTCTTGGTGACTGTAGCTTTGTAATATACTTTGACACCAGAACATGGTGTCAAACATGTCAACATCTACCCCTTTGTTTCTGTTCAAGAATGCTTTGATTGTTAAGGGTTTTCTGTGTTTCCGTATGAATTTAAGGATTGCCTTTTCTCTCTTTTTTTGAGGAATAATTGACACAAAACATTACATCACAACATAGGGATTCAACAATTCTATACATTCTACTGTGCTCACCACAAGTATTGCTACTATCTGTCACCATGCAATGCTAGTACAACACCATTGACTATATTCCCGTGCTACGCTTTTCTACTTCATGACTTTTTCACTCTGTAACTGGAAGCCTATACCTCCCACTCCACTTCATCCATTTTGCCCATCCCCTCACCTCCCACCCCTCTGGTAACCATGTTTGTTCTATGTATTTATTGATCTGTTTCTGCTTTTTGTTTTGTTTTTTAGATTCCACATATAAGTGGAATCACTTACCATAATATCCTATAGATCCACCCATTTTGCCACAAATGGCAAGATCTCACTCTTTTTTATGGATGAGTAATATTCCATTATATATATACACACATATATACTTTATATACATACATATATATTATACACATACCATATCTTCTTTATCCATTTATCTGTCAGTGGACATTTATGTTGCTTCCATATCTTGGCTATTGTAAATAATGCTGCAATAAACATAGGGGTGCATTTTTTTTGAATTAGTGTTTTTGTTTTTCTTGGGTAAATATCTAGTAGTGAAATTACTGGATCACATGGTATTTCAATTTTTAATTTTTTAAAAAGATTTATTTATTTATTTTAGAGAAAGGGTGCACATGTGAGTGGGGGCAGGGGCAGAGTCAGAGGGAGGGGGAGAGAAATCCTCAAGCAGACTCTCTGCTGAATATAGAACCCAACTCTGGGCTGGATCTCAGGACCCTGAGATCATGATCTGAGTTGAAATTAAGAGTGGGATGCTCAACTGACTGAGCCACCCAGGTATACCTCTCTATTTTTAATTTTGAGGAAGCTCCTTGCTGTTTTCCGCACCAATTTACATTTCCACCATGTTACATCTTTTTATTGAACTGTTCCTTTTATCATTAGGTAATGTCCTTCTCTGTCTTTTGTTACATACTTTAAAAAAAAAGTTTTTGTTTATTCATGAAAAACACAGAGAGAGACAGAGACAGAGGGAGAAGTAGGCTCCCTGTAGGGAGCCTGATATGGGACTCGATCCCAGGATCCTGGGATCATGACTTAAGCCAAAGGCAGATGCTCAATCACCACGCCACCCAGGCGGCCCTACAGTCTATGTTTTAAAGTCTATTTTGTCTGATATGAGTATTGCTACCCGAGATTTTATTTTTCTTTCAATTTGCATGGAATATCTTTTTCCATCCTTTCACTTTCCGTTTGTATGTGTCCTTAGGTCTGAAGTGAGCCTCTTATAGACAGCATACGGATGGGTCTTGTTTTTTTTTTTTTTTTTAAGATTTTATTTTATTCATGAGAGACAGAGAGAGAGAGGCAGAGACACAGGCAGAGGGAGAAGCAGGCTCCATGCAGGGAACCTGACGCGGGACCCAAACAAACCCGGGTCTCCAGGATCACGCCCTGGGCAGAAGGCAGGCGCTAAACCGCTGAGCCACCCAGGGATCCCCCTGGGTCTTGTTTTTTGATCCATTCTGCCACCTCATGTCTTTTGATTGGAACATTTAGACCATTTACATTTAAATGGTAAACACTACCTTTACTGTATGTTTGCTTTTACTCATGAAATATTTTTCCTTCCAGAATTTTCTCACTTCTATTTTTTTAAAGATTTTATTTATTTATTCATTAGAGACACAGAGAGAGAAAGAGAGAGGCAGAGACACAGGCAGAGGGAGAAGCAGGCTCCATGCAGGGAGCCCGATGTGGGACTCAATCCCGGGGCCCCCGGGTCATGCCCTGGGCCAAAGGCAGACACTCAACTGCTGAGCCACCCAGGCATCCCAAATTTTCTCACTTCTAATTATATCCTTTTCTTTTCTACCTAAAGAAGTCTCTTTAACATTTCTCACAAGGCTAGTTTAGTGGTGGTGGACTTTCATTCTTTTAAAGATGTATTTATTTATTTATTTGAGAGAGTACATGCATGCACAGAGGGGGAGGGGCAGAGGGAGAGGGAAAGAGAATCTTAAGCAGACTCTGTGCTGAGCAGAGTTCCATGTGGGGCTCAATCTCATGACCCTGTGATCATGACCTGAACGAAAACCAAAAATCAGATGCTTAACCAAGTATGCCACCCAGGTGGCTTAGTGGTGGTGAACTTTTAAAACTTTTGTTTGTCTGGGAAACTCTATCTCTCCTTCCATTCTGAATGGTAATCTTGCTGATTAAAGTATTCTTGGTTGTAGGTTTTTTTTTTTTCCTTTCAGCACTTTGAATCTATCATGTCACTCCTTTCTGGCCTGCAAAGTTTCTTTTCTTTTCTTTTTTTTGAAGATTTTATTTATTTATTCATGATAGACACAGAGAAGGAGAGGCAGAGACATTGACAGAGGGAGAACAGGCTTCCTGTGAGGAGCCTGAAGTGGGACTCCATTCCAGGATCCCAGGATCACGACCTGAGCCAAAGGCAGATGCTTAACCACTGAGCCACCCAGGTGCCCCAGGCCTTCAAAGTTTCTGATGAAAAATCACCTCATAATCTTATGGGATTTCCCTGTCACATAACTAGTAGATTCTCTCTTGCTGCTTTTAAAATTCACTATCTTTAATCTTTGGCATTTTAATTATTA